ATACATATATAAAAATGAGAATAGTAGATAATTTATCGACTTTGTGAACATGTCGATTGCTTGGGTACCTCTGTCCCATTCGTGTTTCTACCGTGAAGCAGTTGTGTTTGCATGGCTGTGTTTCGGTTTGAAGGGTGGGATATGGCGTGAATTTACTGGGTACAGAGGAATAACACCTGAATCCATAGGAATGGCAACGCATGGGTGGTATCATGGGCGAAACAGTATACTCTGTTATGTCCATGGTACTGCTCATGTCTATATACGACGGTTATCACTTTTCATCAGGTGAGCCGTCAGCTTGTTTTCCGTTGTAAGTTGTATAAAGAAAAATCAATTATTGCGTGTTTTCCATGTTGTATAGACTGGTTTCGACCAAAACTACAAGTGCCTCACCTAGATTCTGTCGTTTTTTATAGGTTCGTTGCCGCCAACGGTTTCTTATCGCCCGCCGCCGTGTTAATATTCATAAAGCATCCTCGGCGCCACGATTCAATTTGTTTATTGGTAACCTGTCCCGCTGGGGAATGCGAATAACCTAGTAGCGGTAATGGTCGTTTTATTTCTTAGCGATTTATAGAACATACTCGTCAATTATTTGGCGTAGAAAGTTTTCTCTAAAGTATATTTATTGCCGTTCGCCGTACGGTCCCGGCATAGATTGTGGTCCCGGCGTAGAATGTGGTCCCGGCATAGAATAAGCCACTTTTTCCTTTCCCGTGGGTGTCGTAAGAGCCGATTAAGGGCGAGCGAGGGATAGGCAGCAGCGTCCTTCTTAAAACATCTCCGCGACTGCCAACACCCTAAAATTGACCGTCACTATTTTTTTTTATACCACTGAGATGGCAAACAAGCATACGGCCCATCTGATGGTAAACGATTACCATAGCCTATGAACGCCTGCAATACCAGAGGTATTACGCGCGCGTTGCCTACCCTGAAGAAACCTCTTTACCCCCCTTTTGAAAAACCCCATGCTGTAGTCTCTTGGGAAAACCTCGGCAGGGAGCTCATTACATAACCTAAGTGTTCGTGGGAGAAAACATCTCTGAAACCGCGTTGTACGCGACCACTTGGGCTGTAAGGTATGAGGGTGAACTCCCTGTCGATGGCGAGCCGTACGATAGAAAGTGGCCGTAGGCATTATATTGAATAATTCCTCTGAACACAATCCGTTGTACAGGCAGTAGAACACGCAGAGTGAGGCAAAATCTCTCCTAAGACATAAGGGTTCGATACCGCTTGCAAGCATGGGATCATCGACAATTCTCATAGCTCGTCGTTGCACTGAGTCGAAGGGTTCAAGCCACTATTACTACCAAAAAACTATAAATAAAAAAAAAAAACAAAACAGTAGTAACTATGATGGTAATAGTGACGGCCAATCTTTAGTGTTGCCAGACGCAAACAAACATACTAATGGTAGCGGAATTAAACAAAATAATTCTAAACAAATAACAAAACAAATTAAGATTGTATTTCAGAAAAAAAGACTTTTTCATTTAAATAAAAACTAAACCCTTCAACAGAACTTGATAAAACTTCTATGATACTAATTTGTAAATATATCCTTTTAGATAAAAAAAAAAAGTATTTTGCAAATCGGTTTACAACTGACGGAGTTATGAGGTAATAAACATAAAAAAAAAGAATTGAGCACTACCATATTGTTAAAACCGATAGAACAATATTTTTTATACAACTTAGAATAGCAAACAAGCTGACGGTCCACCTGATGGAAAGTGGTAACCGTCGCCTATACACATGAGCAGTACCATGGACATAACAGAGTATACTGTTTCGCCCATGATACTCCCCATGCGTAGCCATTCCTGAGGACTCAGGTGTTATTGCTCTGTACCCAGTAAATTCACGCCATATCCCACCCTTCAAACCGAAACACAGCCATGCAAACACAACTGCTTCACGGTTGAAACACGAATGGGACAGAGGTACCCAAGCAATCGACTTTTGTACAAATATTATGTAATAAAAGAGACAAGACAAATACAGAATGAATAGAATTAAAAACTTTCCACTTTAACGATTTCCTTAAAAACATTGCTATCTTTAATAAAAACATGAAAGTGACTTAAAGTGGAAGTAAATTCTAACATTGCGGATGCACTGTATTTATAGTCTGTACTAACAGTCACGCGGCCGAGTTTAGTATTTTGAAATTACTTATCTGTGGCGATTTCACTTTTTAAACGTCAGGCTAAGATGCGGGCTTGTACAGCCATTTGATTTTTGTGGATTCGCTCTGACTTCAGACGGTTCTATGTAAATAAAAACATATCAAAAACATAAAATGTAAAAAGAATGCCAAGTCTCGTAACACAGTTGTTTTGCTACATAATAGGTTGTGTCCTAAAAGAACCGACTTCAATCGTAAGTAAACCAGTTATTTTGATCTTTTTAGATACTAAATTACTGAATCGATATTAATAATATTTCTATGAGACCAGTCTTTATATAAGTATATCCTTTCATATGAGAAAATATTTTTCCAAATCGGTTTACAACTGACGGAGTTATGAGGTTATAAACATAAAAAATTCAACCGAATTCAGAATCTCCTTCTTTTTGTAGTTAATTGAAAATTTGTAAGACCAACGATGTTACAGGGGACGGGGGTTATTAATAATACGGACTACCAGTCTTATTGTTAGCAATGTGCCCAAAAAGGTCGACCTCCACGTGGTCCCCCCCTGGAAACCATCGTGCTGAATTCTAAGTGAATTCATCACGACGGGCTAATTGACCTGTTTTTTCATCCTCACCTATCATCCTTCACTGGTGCTCCGCTAGTGTATACCGATAGCGCAGGTGGGGTTACCATTCCATTATCATCCATTAAAAAAACGAAGTTACAGGGGAGTCCAAACTGCCTTGAATCGCTTCGAAAAATGATATCAATCTTTTCACGAAGCGCCAGTGCTGGCTTGGCCGGGACACAACCGTACCCCCTGATATAGCCCATGTCACTTATTGATAATGTAGCTGTAGCTTAATATAAAGGTACCAAAGAAAACTTTAGATTTACATTTTAATAACTTTAAAACTGTTATTAAAAAACACTTATTGAACAAAGCCTATTACACTCTGAAAGGTTACTCGAATGACAAGCGTGCATGGTGTTAGTCGATCATGCACGGGCTGCCAACGACCATGTAATTTTAGACATAGTACATTTAAATAAATACACATAATGTTAACAGAGATTTAAAAGAGTAACTGTTGAGTTTCTAGCGGACTCTTCTCAACAGATAACAATTTTCCGAACGCTGCGATAAATTTAAAACAAATAACGATTTAAAAGTGCTTGTAGACAAGTTTTTTTTTATACAACTTAGAATGGCAAACAAGCTGACGACCCACCTGATGGAAAGTGGTAACCGTCGCCTATAAACATAAGCAGTACCATAGACATAACAGAGTATACTGTTTCGTCCATGATACCCCGCATGCGTTGCCATTCCTGAAGACTCAGGTGTTATTCCGCCCTACCCAGTAAATTCACGCCATATCCTACAACTGCTTCACGGTTGAAACACGAATGGGACAGAGGTACCCAAGCAATCGTCTTTTGTACAAAGTCTCCCTCTGGTATTATTTTATATTCTTGTGTTTATTTGAATAAAGATAATTTGAAGATAGGTGAGAGAATTTTTAAAATTGGTTTTTAAGTTTATCAAACATACAAAAAAATCAAATCTTTTCAATAGAAAAGAATCGTTATAATCGGTTATTCAAATTATTTTTTAAATTATCGATTACAAGTAAAATAATAAAATAAGGTTGTCTGGAAGAGATTGCTTAGCAATAAAACCACCTTTTGTACTACACTATACGTATTGAAAATTGTTCAACAAATACTGTTACCTTATGAGGTTGTTAAAAGAATTATATATAAAAACTATTGTGACATTTATGACAAATGGATTACTTTATAAACTTTTGCTATGAATCAATCTGTGTTTTAATATACGATAATACAACATTTCTGGCGACGAGATGTCGTTCGAAAAATTTCAATTCGATATATTTAACAATAAAAATGAAGATTGGGATTATTACATCCAACGATTTGAGATCGAATTACAACTTCATGGACTTGATGGCGAAGAAACAGAAAACAAACGTAAAAAAATATTTCTCTCACGGATCGGACCAGCCGCCTTCAAGGTATTAGTGGACTATTTTCGGCCTATACCAGTAACAACAAAAACATATACAGAACTCAAAGATGTATTAAACGAATATTACGGAAAGAAAACATATGTTCTTTCAGAAAGAGTAACCTTCGCTACCAGATACCGGCAAACTAATGAAACTATTTCACAGTTTATCTTAGAACTTCGTTCACTAGCTGGATACTGTGAATTCGGAAATACCTTAGAGGAACGCATTAGAGATCAACTGGCAATAGGAATTAACAACACAATGTGGCAACAAGAACTTATCAAACAACATCCAACAAATAGTGCAAAGCTTACTGACATTATAGCTACGGCTAATAAATTAGAACAAGCAGAGATCCAAACGCAACGTCTATCGAATAGTTTTCAAACAAATACGGACCCATAAAACATCAATAAATTGAAAACAAGAAATTATCAAAAAACAAATGAAACCAATAATAACACAAAATGTATATTCTGTGGCAGAGACTTTCACAGAAATATGAACGACTGTCCCGCAAGAGGCAAACGATGTAGCGCCTGCGGGAAACAAAATCATTTCTCTTCAGTTTGTATAACTAGTGGACGGCTCAAAATAAAAAAATTTAGAAATACTAGACTTATAGCCACAAATAGTCATATAGAACAACAAAACAACAATGAAAACGAAAATTCTGATAATGAAAGTGTTCAGACATATGCCATTAGCCTTTATAACAAAGTCAGTAAAATCATGATTCCAACTCTACTTAACAATAAAAATGTGGAAATGCTGTATGATCCAGGAGCAGTACATTCTGTAATTGGTGTAAAACTATGGAAGGCCATAGGTGTCCCAAATTGCAAAAATGTAAAAATCTGATTGCTTACACAGATGTACAAATTGAAACATTAGGAATGTGTCCTATAAAAGTCAAAGCCTTTAATGCGGAGAAAATATTGACAGCTTATGTTACTCAACAAAATGACATTCCGCTTTTTGGATTAAACTGGTGTATTAAATTTAAATTGCCAATGCCACCGGGTGCCAGACTTTGTAATATAAAAGAACCTACAGCAGTAACGAACGATACAGAGTATACAAAATATAACACTGAAATAGCAGCTATTTTCAGTGATTTTAAAATAGTTTTCGATGGCAAACTCGGAACAATAAAAGATCATTATGCCAAAATCCATATTCCAGACGGTGTTCAACCAAAAGCATTCCGACCACGTCCTGTGCCTCTTGCATTACGCGAACAGGTGAACACTGAACTCAAGAGATTAGTAGATGAGGGGGTTTTGGAACCTGTTGATACAATGGCAACCCCCATAGAATGGGCATCACCCATCGTCATTGCTATAAAGGCAAACGGAAACGTTCGTATATGTGCCGATTTCAAAGTAACAATTAACCAGCATGTACAAATAGATGATTATCCTTTACCAAGATTTGAGGAAATAACTTCTAAATTGTCAGGAGGACAACTTTTTACAAAAATTGATTTAAAAGATGCCTATTTACAACTGTTAATACATCCGAACTCGAGAAAGTATTTAACCATCGTAACTCATAAAGGATATTTCCGTTATAAACGTTTACCCTTTGGAATCTCATTTGCACCAGCTGTTTTTCAACGAACAATGCATCATATACTCAGCGGCCTAGATGGAGTAGTTTGTTATTTGGATGATATATTAATAACAGCAGGTGACCTACAAGAGCATTTAACTCGGGTGAGAGCAGTATTACAAAGATTACAGGATTTAGGCCTAAAGAGCCAAATAAGTAAATGTGCTTGGTTACAGGACAGCGTAACATTTTTGGGTCATAAAATTGACAGACATGGTTTACATCCAACAACAGAAAGAATCGAAGCCATAAAGAAAATGCCCCTTCCGACTAATACAACCGAACTTCGTGCCTTCTTAGGTTCGATAACCTATTATGGGCGTTTTATAGATAATTTACACATGCGATGCGCCCCACTTTACAGACACTTAAAAAAGAATGAAAGATGGGTGTGGACTGAAGATGATACAAACATAGTAAATGAATTAAAAAACATTCTAACATCCAGTGACACTCTCACTCATTATAACGGCAATGAACCCATCTATGTGAGTAGTGATGCTTCAGACAAAGGTGTGGGCGCAGTGCTATTCCACAAGATAAATAACGTAATGAAGCCAGTAGCATATGCATCGAGAACACTATCGGATATCGAGAAACGATATTCTACCATAGATAGAGAAGCGCTTGGAATAGTATACGCTGTAACAAAATTCCATCAATACTTGTATGGTAGAAAGTTCACCTTACTTACTGATCATAAACCTCTTGAAAGAATCTTCAGTCAAAACAGAGAAACACCCAAAATAGCGAGCAACCGCTTACTTAGATGGGCGATGATACTCAACAGTTATGAGTATATAATACAATACCAATCAGCGAAAGAAAACACTCCAGCAGATGCATTATCAAGGTTACCATTGACCAATAGCGATACATCTTTAGAAAAGAGAACTGGACTACCCAATTTTGCACATTTACTACATCTGAGACTCAGTAACATTCCTGTAACGAAAAAAGAGTTAAGAAATCAAACTACTAAAGACAGAACCCTTAATAAAATTAAACAGTATTTAACATCACACTGGCCAGAAAAGAAAGACCTAAACAACGAGTTTCATACTTATTTCGAAAAAAGAAATGAAATGTCTTTCGAAGACGGTATCGTTTTGTGGAATGGGAGGTTATGTATACCGAACACACTCAAACAATCCATCCTAGAAATGTTGCATGATGGGCATAATGGTACAACTGCCATGCAATCATTAGCTCGCCTCCACGTCTACTGGCAAAATATTGATAGAGATATTCTAGCTTTCTCAAAAAGATGTAATCTTTGCCAACAATCTAGGAATAACACCAGTAAACCTCCGGCATATCCGTGGGGTATACCAGAAGAGCCTTGGCACAGACTGCATATAGATTATGCAGGCCCTATTTACGGACACATGTGGCTAATAGTCATAGATGCTTATTCAAAGTGGTTAGAAGTCATGCCTATGAAGTCATCAACATCCAAAGCAACTATAGTAAAATTAGATAACATATTTGCTACATTCGGCGTACCACGATATATTGTTACCGATAATGGTCCTCAGTTCACGTCAGATGAATTCCACGATTATTGTAAGAAGATCGGCATTACACATATTAAAACGACACCATACCACCCCAAAACAAACGGACTAGCCGAACGCGCTGTGCGCACTTTTAAAGAAAGAATGTTAGCCAGCGACAGAAGCATTGACTTGTATCAACGTTTATATAGCTTTCTTCGAGGATATAGAAACACCCCTCGTCGGTCGACTAACCGTTCACCATATGAAATGATGTTCGGAAGACCCATGCGTACAACCCTCCATCTTTTAAAACCAAACGTAAAAGAAAACCTGGAAAAAGCTAGGTTGTATCAACAATTTAGACCTACTAAAGTGGTAGTACCTCCAACATATAGCCCTGGAGATAAAGTATGGGTAAATAAAACAACCGGCAAAGGCTCTGATCCTGGTATAATTACAAAATGCAACGGACCTTACTCTTATATAGTAGAGATGGCGGATGGAATACATAGACGCAAACATTCTGATCAGTTGCGTCCGAGGAATAACGGTTCAAATGATAACGTGGAAGTAAAACCCTTTACCTATTACAAACGCAACGTTAACGAGAGCAATTGGAGCGGTGATTGGGGGCAACAACCTACGCCTGCAGCTTCCACCAGTAGACAACACCCTGATGGTTCGCGACAACAGCCTACAGAAACGGCCACCGCATCAACCTCCCGAGCAGAGCCTGAGCTTGGTGTATCGATACAGTCACCACCGCAGCGGCGTTCTGAGCGAAAGAGGAAACCACCTGTACGTTTCGGGTACTAGAGCCATTTCCAATGATGGAGGGGGAGTAAATGTAGGAGTACAAACCTCCTTATGAGGTTGTTAAAAGAATTATATATAAAAACTATTGTGACATTTATGACAAATGGATTACTTTATAAACTTTTGCTATGAATCAATCTGTGTTTTAATATACGATAATACAACAGTTGGTGCAATAAAGTGTTAAAAAAATAAAATAATATAAAAAAAAAAGAAAACAAAATTCAAAGATTCAAGATTTAAATATTGAAGAGAATATTGACTGATAAATGCAATGGTACCACACTTCAGTAAACAGTAGCCTTGAACCATAGACTTGGTATAACGTACTATCTTACGTACTAAATAGTTCATAATCTAAGATTACATAGATAGAGCATCGAACCTCAAAAACGGGTCAATTTTTTGTCAGCTAATTGTCAAATTAGCCGACTCATTTTTTTTATCAGTGTTCTATATACTTACGCACACAATGTATCTTGATGTAACTACATATATTTAATTATTTAATAAATAAAATGAGTTTTTATGTATTAAAATTAAGAATTTATAAGACAAAATAAATATAGAAGTTATAAAGGAATCACTCATAACTATTTATCACGTAAAATTGTATAAAAAAGTTAAGCCGATTTTCTAAAAGCATTTGTATGGATATACTCTATCTATATAATCTAATTCATAATCTAAGCTATGAACTCTCTTGAGCTTAACTGAATGATAATGAATTTTTTAAGATAGCGAAAAAAAAAGTTAAGTCTATGAAATCTAATTATGTAACTTTATTTATGAACGACTTTCAAAAGAAAGATGTTTATAATCCTAACTTAATATTGTAAATGTGAAAGTGAGTTTGTTTGTTGCCATTTAGCTACTTGGCGGGGAAGGGATTGTTAGTAATGCGGATTATCAGTCCCGTTGTTAGCAATATGCCTTATAAAGTCGACCCCCCTGGAAACCATGGTGCTGAATTCCTGGTATATTCGTCACGGTGGGCTAACTGACTTGCCTTTTCATTCTCACCTATCATCCCTCACTGGTACCTCGCCAGTGTAGGCGGGGTTACCATTTCATTATCATCAATTAAAAAAAAAAGTTTACTCTACTCTCTACTTACGGTTTAACCAATCATTATAAAATATGGTATATTTCCGTCTTAAATTACATACATAGAGTGTCTCCAAATATAAAGCTTTGTCAAAAATGCTTCGAAATCGACGGGGAATCCATCCTCACACCTTAGGATTAGAATGGTCATGCACAGTGCGGTTACAGAGACGCTTCCTCCCGCGAACACTCGGGTTGTGGAATGATCAAGGCTTTCCCTACAGACTACAGCATGGGGTTCTTCAATAACGGCATATTAAGGAGGGAAGAACATTAGACGGAGAAGAATTTATATGAATCAATCTGTACGTATAACTTTTTAAATAAAAAAAAATAAATTCTAAATCGATTTACAATTGAGAAAATTATGAGGTAACTACTAACTAAAAATATATAAAAAAATACAACCGAATTAAGTTACGTCCGTTTTTTTTAATCGGTTGAAAAAACAGACGAAATGAAAACCTTTTTTTTACAAGTCTTTTAAAAGTCTATTAAACATAACCGTACGGGGTATTTCCCATGCCTACATTATACCTATTAAAAATATCATGCATGGCCTTATTGATAAACGCGCCAAAACAATTTCATACTTTTTTTTTTAATAACTAATAGCCAAGGGCCTAACAACATACATCTTCGTTAACTGTACATGGGTAGTTAATAAACAGTGATGGCAGATAGCCGAATATAATCTCGGTTAAAATAACTATAATTACAGTGGTTCGGTCGGTTTGTCTGTGGGATTCAACTACAACGCAATTTCTTAAGCGGAAGTACAACATGAATGAATTGTATTTTTAAAAAGGTACTTCATTATATGAACTTAATATGTTTACATAGGTATGCAATATATTTAAAAAAAAACATGCATATTATATAAACATTTACAACTAGGTGAGCCCGCAACTTTGTTCATATTACCATAAGAAAAAAGTTTTACATCACCACAATTTTATACAGCGTAATTTTGTTCCCACTTTTATGTATTACGCCATCTAGTGTCTAATAGAATCAACTTTCTACTTGATAATAGATGACTTTAAAAACAACAAATTTCGTAATTTTCTCCTTATCAACATCAAAACTACGCTTGCATACATCTTACTCCTGCCCATTCATAATTATGCCGACTCAAATCTTTTGTTAAGTCCTACTATCTCTTCCTTTAAGTACTATTTTCCTGTGTATTCTCGTCATCTTCTTCCTTCATTCTCTTTTGTTGTGTGTGTGCTATTTATTATGTTTTTTTTTATGTGTGAAAATGATATGGTAACCCCTCCTGCGCTAACGGGATACGCTGGCGGAGCACCAGTGAAGGGTGATAGGTGAGAATGAAAACAGGCCAGTTAGCCCATCATGATAAATTCATCAGGAATTAACCATGATAGTTTGCAGGGAGAACCGCGAGGAGGTCGACCTGGTTGGGTATATTGCTAGCAATGGGATTCTCACTCTCCATTACTAACAATCCCTTTCCCCCCAGTATGTGTATGTTTATGGATATATTTATATATATAATAGTGGTGAACAATCTTTACGTATACTAATGGTAGCGGAATTAAACAAAATAATTTTAACCAATAACAAGTTTATTGGAACAAAGATGATTTTGTATTTGACCCAGGCAATTTATAATTTTAATTGCCTTTACTACCTTCTTGTGATAAAGACGAATATTCTAACTTTGTATATTTTAATATATTGTATTCTAACCCGTCACGTCGGCGTTATAACGATGTTGTCATAATTCTTCGATAAATATGCGATTCACAGATCGGTTTCACTTTTACAGACGTTACCCAATCCGTGATCTTTGCATTTCACGCTGTTGATACAAAGCGAAAGTATACAAACTTGAAGAAAAAGCCCATATTTGTGTTTATCTGTGACTATTGTCACATTGGCAGACAATACTGGTAAAAAATTATTATAAGGTACTGAGTAAAAGCATTGGCGTATTTAGCATTATTTTATAGTATCTTAGGCTACGCACCAAACTAGGTGATTAGGGTGCCCCTATCCGGAAAAATCTACTTATTGTACTGTAAAAATCTTTAATGTACATATTTTTTATTATTATTTATTATATTAATTTACTTATATGGCAAAACATTTGCAGGGTCAGGTAGTAGGCAATAAAAATAATATGGCGGGCGCTTCTCCTTAATACGCGGAATGCGCATGCGTCCAACTGACCGAGGGACGAAGGACCGGTTTCCCGCCATTTGGGTTACTAGTCCCTGCCCTTGTACAGCTTAGTAGATATTTATCCCTAGTAGTATTTTACTTTTATTATATTTAAAAAGTTTAAAATTATTTGTCTATGGTCAAGAAGTAACGGGAATGCGTATTCCAGACAAATTATCATATTGAAGACTAGGCAACATGGTCTCCGACCTTAGCCTGTTCCACAATGGAACAAACGTATTAAAAAAAAACGAAAATGCGTACAGTAAGTATTTATTATTCTTTACAGAAGACTGAATTAAATTATAAACAAATTAAAGTATTTAATCAATCAATTTTTGTTTTATACTATCTACTGTTAACATATTGTCCTATAATCTGGACAACAACGGTTTGTTTGTATTTTTATTAAATTCTATTTCACTCTTCTGAAAATATGATATTTTTACTTTGCATCTGTCAATATACTGATTTAAGCAGGCAAACCAGAGGGAGACTTTGTACAAAAGTCGATTGCTTGGGTACCTCTGTCCCATTCATGTTTCAACCGTGAAGTAGTTGTGTTTACATGGCTGTGTTTCGGTTTGAAGGGTGGGATATGGCGTGAATTTACTGGGTACAGAGGAATAACACATGAGTCCTCAGGAATGGCAACGCATGGCGAAACAGTATACTCTGTTATGTCCATGGTACTGCTCATGTCTATAGGCGACGGTTACCACTTTCCATCAGGTGGGCCGTCAGCTTGTTTGCCATTCTAAGTTGTATAAAAAAAACAGGCAAAGTAACGGGAAACAACTAGTAAACCAATGAAATATGAGCTGAAATCCACTTTTAAACGACCACAAAAATAAATAAGTTTTGCCTGGAAATAATTTCTAACATGATTCTAATTCGATTCCAATGATTCTTTATACTATCGACGCAGTATATTTTTTTTTATTGCAGGGTCCCGCGATTGATCACGATCTCACCTGATGGAAAGCGACGAAATGGTCTAAAATATTTCCAAGTTGATTTCACATCAAGTTAGCATGTTTGATACAAGCACAGCCGAAGGCTTAGATCAAGTTAGTTGACTAATATTATAAAAAGGAAAGATTTTAATTTATGCATGTTTGTTTATAATGGATAAACCCAAAAACTACTAAACTGATTTTAAAATTAATTTACGTATTTGAAGCTACATTATCAGTGAGTTAAGAGTTAGTGAGGCTATATATTATTTGCCAAAAACCGTTTAAAATCGGGACGAGTCACGAATCCACTATAAAGTAGTATGTAACTACATATAAAGGCATCCTAATGATGGGCATACGTAGCGTTACTTGACCTCATTGATTAATTGACATTAAACAAATACACCTGAGATGAGAAAAAATGCTTTTATTGGTTCACAGGTAAATAATACTGTTTTATTAATCTAAAACTATTTGACTATTTTTAAAGGTGTACTACCGGGCATGGGGCCCGCCGACAGAACAGTCTTAAAGAGATAAATACAAATTAATAAATACAATTCAAAAATTCTTGTCTATGAATAGGTGCGGCACTAATTACTTACTAAGTTTTACCCGCGAAATCGGGATATGTTTAGCGAGTGAGATAAAAAATAGCATATATCTTTATCCATCCCATACAATATGTGTATACCAAGATACATAGTGATTGGTTTCACCAGGTTTTTAAGTAGAAATATTATTTCCAATGTTCACAAACACTAATTAGGTTTTAAAAAAAAAAGTTAAACAAAAAGGTAAAACGAAACGCATAATATTAAATACTTACACGTCCAATGAAAGCCAAAACAGCTGTTGAGAACAAAATAAGTAGGATAAAAGTTGTAAAAAAACCAACACTGTATCTTACACGGTAAAACTTTCACATTTCAACATGCACCACACAAGATTTTATTACGCACGTGTCAACCAAACGCACTTAAAAAAAATATTTATTTTGACATAGACAAATGAGTTATTTTTAAAAAGTTATTATTTAATAATACGAAATTTGAAAAAAAGTAAGCTTTATTTCCGGATATCTTACGTTTCGAACATGCGCGCGCAACGCTAGGCGTAGAAGACTGGCGTTACAAAATGAATTCAACCGAAGTAATGTGTATGATAAAGACAAGAGATACAATTTTGATGATGAAGAATGAGACGGATATAGGGTGTCATGTAGCGGTAATTTTTTCTCCTTTCGCGCGTCATCGTCAACTTTCTAAACGCCTAAGGTGATTTTGGTATATTTTCTTGTTTTGATGCCATCCGTATTCATGTAAGTACTTATTCCAAAATATAACATCTATTGTCTGATTTTTCTAAAGGTTACACTGAAATAAGGAATGAGACTAGAGAATTAAGATTTCTTTTTATTAAAAATAATGAATTTGGTATACCAAAGAAAAATCTATAAGTTATATACTTTATAGTTATTTAGGCACAATTAACGAAATATTTATAATAAACTAATACATTTTATTCAGAAACGCAACAAAATTATACAAGTAAATCCGATGAAGTTTCTAGTTTAATATGACGTCAACGCAAACGCTATCTTTTCGATAAATTCAATTTAATCGAACGTGGCTCATTGGTCTAGTCGTATGATTCTCGCTTAGGGTGCGAGAGGTCCCGGGTTCAATTCCCGGATGAGCCCGTATGATTATTCCTCACTTTTGCAACTCTGTAAGACATTTCTTATTTTCACAATTTATAACGCAAATGATTTTTTTTTGTAATTTATGGTTACTTTCAAATAGAAAGTTAATGCATATGATCAAAGCTGCCATCTAGTATAAAATAATTAATTTAGTTTACCACTATTCTTCGAGATGGCGCTGTAATGTCTTTTATCAAAAAATCATCATATTTATATTTTATATTCTATAATTCTACAGTACAAAAGAATATGAAAAATAATAAAATAAATAAAACAAATACATAACCCTTAATTTTCTTTCGAAATATTAAGGGTCAATATTAATAAGATTTGGCGGCTGGCAACCTTGTATGCGTGAGCGAAAAAAAAATAACAAAGTTTTGTTTATGTTTTGTTTTGTTTCTTTCGTTTCACTTTTTATTATTATTTTAGAACTACTTTTATTAGTTTATAATTTAAAACGTTTGCATACAAACATTCTTTAACTTTTATTTTCATTAGCTTAGGCTTATACATTACTTGTAAAAAGTGAACTTTAATTATTGTTTTTTTTAAAATGTCTGGCTCTAATGATTCTTGCCAAAATACATCAGCAGTGTCTTCTTTGAGCGATGTTAGCAGTTTATTTCAAACTCCCAAGAAGTATGAAGAGTTAAATGTGATTGGAACAGGTAATTTGTGTAAATTATTCGCAATAATTAGCATGTGCCGGTTTAATAACCTCATGCGTGTACAAATATTTTTTTTTTGTTTATCCTAAACATAGGCAAAGGCATTGTGCCCAATAAGACTATATTTACCTATAACCAAATCTTATTTAATTATTTATAGTAATTTGCAATAATTTTGGTAGATGGCAACGGAATATAATTTTAAAATAATGATAAAGTATTTACAATAAATTTATATAAACTTCAGATGGCTGTGAGTAGTCACTATATAACTGTAAAAGTATATAGAATTATTTTGATTAATTTAGCAATATTAATTAATTAAAATAACAAAAGATGTACATTATGTCTGAAATTATGTATGATTTTACAGAAAAAAAAACATTTTCAAAATTACCTACTTTAACTATTTTAATTAAAAAATTTCCATTTCCTGTATTCCTGAGATACAGATCTCTGATCTAGTTTAGGGTCCAGTCTCCCACAAGTTTTACAGACCATTTTAATTATACATACATATACATAAAATTTGTGGAAAAAATAAAAATAAAAAAAAATATGTTGCTAGGTGCCTACGGTACAGTGTACAAAGCCAGAGACCTCCACAACGGTGGTCAAGTGGTGGCTATGAAAAAAGTAAAGGTACCAATCACCGAGGATGGTATACCACTGTCCACACTCCGTGAAATAGCTCTTCTCAGGCAGCTGGAGGCCTACAGGCATCCCAATATAGTGCGGTGAGATAGTTTTTTTTTTCTATGCTATAGATTTTTATTCTTATATACCCACATACAAATTTAAAAGAGACAAATGCAACCAGAGGGAGACTTTGTACAAAAGTCGATTGCTTGGACACCTCTGTCCCATTCGTGTTTCTACTGTGAAGCAGTTGTGTTTGCATAGCTGTGTTTCGGTTTGAAGGGTGAGATATGGTGTGAATTTACATGGTACAGAGGAATAACACCTGAGTCCTCAGGAATAGCAATGCATGTGGGGTATCATGGGCCAAACAATATACTTTGTTGTCCATGGTACTGCTCATGTGTATAGGCGATGGTACCACTTTCCATCAGGTGGGCCGTCAGCTTGTTTGCTGTACTAAGTTGCATAAAAAAAATTGTATAACATGTAGGCTAAACATGTTTTGTTAACATGTACATGTACTTATTTTATGCATGTTTCACAAATAATTAATCTTGGATCATAAAGAACAAATCCTTATTACTAACAGTCCCTCCCCCCCCTCTTCCAGGTTGCTGGACGTGTGTCACGGTGGTCCGTCAGTGGACCGCGACCAGCAGTTAGTACTGTTCCTCGTGTTTGAACACGTGGAACAGGATTTGGAGTCGTTCCTCAAGAGAGCACCAGGCCCGTTGTCTGAAAATAGGATACAGGTCAGTATTGTCTCTGTTTCTTCTGCATATCAATGATATGTTACAGATAAGTAATATTCATTGCTATGCGGACGACAGTACAGGAGATACATTATATACCGGTCATGCAAAGATCTCGCGGGCACATACCGATGAGTACCGGAATAGACTTGTGTCTGAAATCGAAACTTCACTCCATCAAGTTTCGATCTGGGGTGAACAAAATCTTGTCCAATTTAACCCCAAAAAGACACAAGTCTGCGCGTTTACCGCAAAAAAGACGCCGTTTGTCGTATCTCCTCACTTTCAGGGCACTTCCCTTGATAAAAAGTCAAGTCTAGGAATTCTGGGCGTTGATATATCTTGCGACGTCCAGTTTTGCGGTCATCTGGAGGAGAAGGCTAAGATAGCTTCCAAAAAGTTAGGAGTGCTCAATAGGGTGAGACGATATTTCATGCCAGAACACCGCCTGAAATTATATAAAGCCCAAGTCAGGCCGCATATGGAATACTGTTCTCACCTGTGGGCAGGAGCGCCACAGTACCAACTCCTTCCGTTAGACCGCATTCAAAGTCGGGCGGCTCGAATTATCGATAGTCAACGCCTTACTGTCCGACTTGACCCATTGAAACTGCGCAGAGATGTTGCGTCTCTGTGCATCTTCTACCGAATTTATCATGGGGAGTGTTCTGAGGAATTGTTCGGATTGATACCTGCTGCTGATTTTCACCACCGTACAACCCGCCACAAACTAAAGTTTCATCCCAATCATCTGGACGAGTGGCGGTCTTCCACCGTGCGTTTTTCAAGGCACTTTCTTCCACGCACAACCATTCTTTGGAATCAACTTCCAGCAGCAGTATTTCCGAACCGATACGACAACATAACCTTCAAGAAAAGAGTATATTCCTTTTTAAAAGGCCGGCAGCACACCTGCAATGCCGCTGGTGTTGTGGGTGATCATGGGCGGCGGTAGTCACTTGCCATCAGGTGGGCCGCATGCTCGTTTGCCCCCTGTGTTGTAAAAAAAAAAAAAAAAAGTATTTCTTTTTACGGATACTTCGAATGGTATCATGGGTGACACAGTATACTCTGTTATGTCCACGGTACTGTTCATGTCTATAGGCGACGGTTACCACTTTCCATCAGTCTGTCAAAGATTTGTAGCTCCATTGCTAGCAATATACCCTGTCAGGTTGACCTCGTGGTTCCCCTTGGAAACCATTATGATTTATTTATTATAAAATTTGTCATGGTGGGCTAACTGGACTGCTTTATCCTCACCTATCATCCCTCACTGGTGTCCAACCAGGGTATAACAATAGCGCAGGCGGGGTTACCATTCGATAATCATTCAATAAAAAAATATATATACTTACAAAGTCTTCTTATTTTGACGGTCTCTTTATTTATGTCTTCCAGAGCATGTCCCATGACATCCTATCAGGCATAGACTTCCTGCACTCGCACCGGATCGTCCACAGAGACCTGAAGCCCCATAACCTGCTCGTCACGTCCAGTGGCAGAGTGAAGTTAGCTGACTTCGGGCTGGCCAAGACATACGATACAGAGATGAAGTTAACAAGTGTTGTAAGTAATTTAATTTAAGTTTTTAATCTAGTTTCTTTTACTGAACTACATCCTGATTTGCGGAAGTCCATCATCATCATATCAGTTTTTAACTGTCCACTGCTGAACATAAGCGTCCTCTTCGGGTTTTGCCAGTAGTTGCCACGTTTGGCAGACGAATTAGCAACCGCAGTTAGGCTTTGGAGATGTTTTAAGAGGGACGCTGCTGCTCATGCCCTCCTTAGTCGCCTCTTACGACATCCACCGACTTATTTTGTTTCATTCCGCCACCATTAGTATGTGTGTAACTGGCAACACTCGAAGTATGACCGTCACTATTACTACCAGAACTTCCACAACTTTAGCTTATTAACAATATTAGTGATCAATCTCCGATCGCTGTTCAGTCCACGCACGTTTTGCGACACTCGTTTCACCTCTGTATTGCCTGTAGATGCCTCGTTTAATAAAAATATTAGTCACCCTTCAAGTGTTGCCAGTCGTAACCATATTAATGTTAGCGGAATTGAAGAAAATAATTCTAATCAACTAATTCGAGTTTACTTTTTAATTTTTTTTTAGAAATGATAATGGAATGGTAGCCCTGCCTGCGCTATCGGTATACACTTGTAAAGCACAAGTGAGGGATGATAGGTGAGGATGAGGTCAGCGCGAATTCATCATCAGGTATTAATCACTATGGTTTTCAGGCGTGAAGATGGACCTGAGTTCAAATCGCTAGCTATAGGCCACTAGTTCCCGTCACTATGTTATTTTACCCCTCCCCCTCACCCCGCAGGTGGTGACCCTATGGTACCGGCCGCCCGAGGTGCTGCTCGGTGCCGCATACAACACAGCGGTGGACGTCTGGTCAGCCGGGCTGGTGCTGGCGCAGCTGAGGACCAGGACCGCCTTGCTGCCTGGCGCCTCGGACTCTGATCAGCTTCACTGCATCTTCAGGTACTGGTTTATTGGACTTCATCTTTATACTTTTAAGAGGAAAGATTTTTTTTTGTGTGTTTGGATATACTCAAAAACTACTTGACCGGTTTGAAAAAATATGTTATTTATAGAAAATTACATTAAAGATAAAGCAGCCTTTATTCTGCTTTGTGATTTTAATTAATATTGCATGTATACATTATAATTTTTTTTTTCACTAAATTATATTATATATTAGAACTACATTAATTTTTTACTAGAATTAATTAATAAAATCGTAAAATTATAAGTTATATGTATTATTATTTCCCTCAAATTATATCTCGTAGCACGGAGTGTCTTGTGGCAAAAGCCTCCTCCAACTCCTTCCAATAATTTCTGTCCCTTGCTGCTCTACTCCTAGTAGAGAAAACTACATTATCATTAACCGTCTTTCAAAAAAAGCGTTCACGCTCACTTTTTCACTTTATCCCAGCAGTAAGTACTTTATATTATTCTCAATTTCGTGTATAATATAGTATATGTCATATATGTGTAAGTATATTTGTTATTCGTATATATTTATTCGTTTATATATGTAATTTTAGTATGTATGTATATCAATAATTACTAGTACCGCATTCGAGTATTCTGCCACTTCCCTATGATTGACTGGGAGAGAATGCTTTAAGCATTAAGTCCGCCATGTACACATATTTGTACTAATTAATAAATAAATAAATATCAGCTTGTAATATGGACATTACAATATTTTAAAAAAAATTGAGATCCCATTGCTGAACATAAGCCTCCCCCTTGGGGGTTTTGCCAGTAGTTGCCACTCGTGACAGACGGTTTGGCAACCGCAGTTAGGCTTTAGTGATGTTTTAAAGAGGGACGCTGCTGTCCATCCCTCGCCCTTCCCTTGATCACCTCTTACGACACCCACGGAACAGGAAGGGGTGGCCCATTCTATGCCGGGACCTACACAGCTATATTATTATAATATTAAACAAGAATTTACAAAAAGAAAAATATTTTACTATTTCTGTCAATTGTCATGTAGCCATTTAAAAGTTTTTGTTAGTTGGTGACTAGATGGCGATGTTGTGAAGTGTCAAGGGTTATTTTATCATCATCATTGCCCAGGCTGTTCGGGCGGCCGTCGCGCGAGGAGTGGCCGGCCACCGCAGCGGTGATGAGGGACAGCTTCCCGGACTACCCGCCTCGCAGTCTCGCCGACCAACTGCCGCACGCTCCACCACTCGCGCTCGATCTCCTCAAGGTACTACCATCATGTCGTATAACAAGCCCACTGATGAGGGGGAAGAGATTGTTAGTAATGTGGACTGGTAGTCCCATTGCTAGCTATATACCCTGCTTTTTTTTTTGATGCGTGAAAATGGTATGGTAACCCTGCCTGCGCTAACGGGATACGCTGGCGGAGCACCAGTGAAGGGTGATAGATGAGAATGAAAACAGGCCAGTTGGCCTATCATGATGAATTCATCAGGAATTAACCATGATAGTTTCCAGGGCGAACCGCGAGGAGGTCGACCTGGTTGGGTATATTGCTAGCAATGGGATTCTCAGTCTCCATAACTAACAATCCCTTCCCCCCCCCCCCCCTATATACCCTGTTAGGTCTACCTTCACGTGCTCCCCTTTGGAAATCGCCATGCTAAATTCCAGGTTTATTCATCACAATAGGCTAACTGACCTGCCTTTTCATCCTCACCTATCATCCCTCACTTGTGCCCCGCCAGCGTATACCGTTTTTTTTATGGGTGAAAATGGAATGGTAACCCCGCCTGCGCTAACGGGATACGCTGGCGGAGCACCAGTGAAGAGTGATAGATGAGAATGAAAACAGGCCAGTTAGCCCGTCATGATGAATTCATCAGGAATTAACCATGATAGTTTCTAAGAGGAACCGCGAGGAGGTCGACCTGGTTGGGTATATTGCAAGCAATAGGATTCTCAGTCTCCATCACTAACAATCCCTTTCCCCCCAGCGTATACCGTTAGAGGGGACGGGATTACCACTCCATTGTCATCCATTATCCCCCAAAATTGATTAATATTTGATTTGTACATTCTACTGGGCATCAGCAGACTGTCCTGTTTTTGTTTGTTTACATTTTTATTGATTTCTCTTGTCGTGTTCCTACCGTGAAGCAGCTGTGCTTGCATGGCTGTGTTTCGGTTTGAAAGGTGGGATATGGCGTGAATTTACAGGGTACAGAGGAATAACATCTGAGTCCTCAGGAATGGTAACGCATGGGGGGCATCATGGGCGAAACAGTATACTCTGTTATGTCCACGGTACTGCTCATGTCTATAGGCGACGGTTGCCACTTACCATCGGGTGGGCCGTCAGCTTGTTTGCCATTCTAAGTTGTATATAAAAAAAAAAATACTATAATTCTTGTTTCCAGGGTATGCTTATGTTCGACCCAGCGAAACGACTCACCGCGCTCGACTGTCTAGAGCACCCGTACTTCACCGACGAGCCTCTCGCCTAGTGTTTTAGTTTACTAAGCTATTTATAAAGCTAATATCACACATCGTTATATATATATATATATATATATATATATATATATATATATATATATATATATATATATATATATATATATATATATATATATATATATATATATATATATATATATATATATATATATATATATATATGTGTGTGTGTGTGTGTGTGTGTATAGCTAGCTCCCTGATGAATAAATCATTTGTTTTTTCTCTTCACAAAAGGTAGTGAAAAGGGACAATTTAAGGTACAATTAAATATGATGATTGAATGATGATTTTGGTAGTACAGTGATGAGGCGATGATTCAGGCATGGGTTGTATGGATTATATATTACATTAATAAATGAATTTACAGGGTACAGAGGAATAACACCTGAGTCCTCAGGACTGGCAACGCGTGAATGGCGAACAAGCTGACGGTCCACCTGATGGAAAGTGGTAGCCGTCGCCTATAGATATGAGCAGTGCCATGGACAAAACAGAGTATACTGTTTTGCCCACGATACCCCCCATGCGTTGCCATTCCTGAGGGCTCAGGAATGGCAACGCACGTTATTCCTCTGTTTTATGTAAATTCACTTCCATATCTCGCCCTTCAAACCGAAACAGCCATGCAAATACAACTGCTTTAATGTAGAAACACGAATGGGACAGTGGTGCCCAAGAAGACGACTATTGTACAAAGTCCTCCTCTGGTAAATTGATACACAGCTGGAGCCACGGGATACAGCTAGCTAGTGTATATTTGACAGTGTGTTCCAAGAAAAAAGTACAATGTTATTGAACTAAATGTATTTTTCAAATTTTTTTTAACGTTAACTTTATTATAGAGCCGAAACGCGCAGTCAAACTCGCACTCGCGTCAGCCGCTCATTAATAAGGGTCACGAATTGATCCCAAAACTAGTCGAGTTGTCTCGATCTAGTTACGTGTAAATTAATTCGCTAGATATCGCATTAAAACATAATGTGTCTATAATATTATAAAATTTATAAATAAACTAAAATACTGCTTAGCACTGTAAAAAATAAAGGGCGAGGGATGGGCAGCATCGTCTCTCTTAAAACATGTTTAAAAGCCCAACTGCGGTTGTCAACGCGCCAGCCAAGCGTGGCGACTACTAGCAAACCCCCTTATGGGGAAAACTTAAGTCCAGCAGTGGACAGTTAACGGCTGAACTTACTATAAGTGTAAAAAATCTACACTAATATTATAAAGAGGAAAGATTTGTATTTTCGTGTGTATGTATGTTTGTAATTAATAAACTCAAAAACTACTTTGCCGATTTCAAAAATTCTTTCACCATTAGAAAGCTACATTCACCCTGAGTAACATAGGCTATATTTATTGCTAGAAAACATTAGGGGTCCTTACTAAAACTTTAGTAACGTAACTCAAGGTGTGAAAAAAACTATTGGTGATAAAACAAAAGTATGTTGTACAATATTGAAGAAAATATCAATGACTACAAAAAACTTGGCGATACTATATCGTCACCTCTATGGCAAATTTACGAATCTGCAGTTTTTTCAAATTTGACATTTCTTTAAAAATCTACATTTTGCGCCATACTACTTATTGTGGCTTATTTTCAAATGTCTATCTCTAACGGTTAAAGAAATCGAGTAGCACGAATCTCCATATTTTTGTGATATACCCAAAGTATACTTACTTGGCATATTTTTATAGTATTTTCTATAATAAACACTTTAATTTGAAAATTTCAATAATTATTTTATCAATTTTTCAATCCTAATTTAGTTATTTTACATGAATGATTGCTTTAACGTTGTTATTTAAACTGAAGTTTTCTCCAAAACACGTGATTTATACCTTGGTATATTTACGAAAGTGGCACTTTCGTTAGTTTGCCAGATAGTAAAATAAATGATTTTCTTTGGCACCTTACGAAACTGCCACTTTCGTAGATTTGCTGCTGTATAACTCAATACCTGGGAACTCTCATGTATGACGGTGCAAAGTAACGAATATGCATTTATTTCTGATACTTGTAATATAATAATAATTAATTAAGCGCATTCAATAAAAAACAAGAGTTTAAAACTAAAATGTTAGCATGATCGTTTACAGTAGTCTTCTGTCAATAGTTATTTGCATTCTAATGTTTCGAAACGTTCCCCTGTAAAATGTATCTTTTACAGTTTCGTAAGTTTACCATAAAGCTGACGATATGTCCAACTATTATCGTTATGTCACAATAGCCACTTTTTAAAATGTCGTAAAAATGTCCACCCGTGCGAAGCCGGGACGCGGCGCTAGTAAATGATAACTTTAATAGAAGTAAGACTTATGTTCCATTATTAATAAATAATTTACAACGCTTATACAACGGATTGTGCTCAGAGGATTTATTCAATATGATGCCCACGGCCACTTTCTATCATCGTACGGCTCGCCATCGACAGGGAGTTCACCCTCATACCTTACAGCCTAGATGGTCGCGTACAACGCGGTTTCAGAGATGTTTTCTCACACAAACATTCAGGTTATGGAATGAGCTCCCTGCCGAGGTTTTCCCAAGAGACTACAGCGTGGGGTTCTTTAAAAGGGGGGTAAAGAGGTTTCTTTAGGGTCGGCAATGCGTAATACCTCTGGTATTGCAGGCGTTCATAGGCTACGGTAACCGCTTACCATTAGGTGGGCCGTATGCTTGTTTGCCACCTCAGTGGTATAAAAAAAATATACCGAGATACATTTATACAATTTTTTTACTAATCGATAAGTTCGCTGTGGATTTGTTTGTAATTATTAATATTATAATAAATATATTTTTATAATTATTCCGTTTTTATTACTGTCTTTTACCTCCGACTTTGCGTAACGAAGTCCAGCCTTAATTGATGTGCTTGTAATTTTTTTTTGATGCGTGAAAATGGTATGGTAACCCCGTCTGCGCTAACGGGATACGCTGGCGGAGCACCAGTGAAGGGTGATAGATGAGAATGAAAACAGGCCAGTTAGCACATCATGATGAATTCATCGGGAATTAACCATGATAGTTTCCAGATGGAACCGCGAGGAGGTCGACCTGGTTGGGTATATTGCTAGCAATAGGATTCTCAGTCTCCATTGCTAACAATCCCTTTCCCCACTGTGCTTACCTGTTTGTAACATTTATTATCAACCGACTTAAAAAAGAAGCTTCTCAATTCGCTTGTATTTTTTTTTTATCTAAACAAAATTAGTTTTGATTTAAAAACTAAACTGCTAAACCGATTTTAATAAAATATCTATGAGAACAATCTGTAAGTATGTCCTTTCAGATAAAAAAATATTTTTCCAAATCGGTTTACAACTGACAAGAGTTATGAGGTGACAAACATAAAAACAAACACAACCGAATTTAGACCCTCCTATTTTAAAGTCTATTAAAAATACCCATTCTTTGCCGGTTGAGTAGAGAAAAAAAAAACAAAGCAGTTCTCACGATTGTTCTTGTGTTCTCAAGCGCGAGTTATCACCATTGTTATGTAACGCTTTGAACTTGAGTCCAATTTGAACCCATTTTTAAAATAACCGACGTGACAGGAGGCGAGTTTATCGCCGTCACACAGATTTGTTACCGGTGTTCTCCACCATCGGACAGTAAGTATTATTGTAATTCGTGATAATATTATCCAATTGTGTAGTATTAAGTGCATTTGCGACCTTAGGGATCGTACTGCGACACGTACCAGAGGGAGACTATAAGTCGTTTGCTTGGGTACCTTTGTCCCATTCGTGTTTCTATCGTGAAGCAGTTATGTTTTCATGGCTGTGTTTCGGTTTGAAGGGTGGGATATGGCGTGAATTTACAGGGTACAGAGGAATAACATCCGAGTCCTCAGGAATGGCAACGCATGGGGTGTATCATGGGCGAAACAGTATACTCTGTTATGTCCACGGTACTGCTCATGTCTATAGCCGACGCTTACCACTTTCCATCAGGTGGGCCGTCAGCTTGTTTGCCATTCTAAGTTGCATAAGAAAGAAACATAGAACATTTAGATCAAGAGTTTCCAAACTTTTTAAGATAACAGAATGCCCACCAAATACCTTTTATTGGGGGGAAAGGGATTGCCGATCTCCACGCGGGTCCCCCTGGAAACCATCGTGGTTAATTCTTGTTGTTATTCATTCTGTCACGATGGGCTAACTGACCTGCCTTTTCATCCTCACTTATCACCCCTCACTGGTGCCCCACCAGCGTATACCGTTAGCGCAGGCGGGGTTACCATTCCATTATCATCCATTAAAAAACAACACTCCTACGAGGGTAAAGACGACCAAATTTTTTTTATAATAGGTGAGGAAGAAGCAGGTCCGTTAGTCCATTGTGACGAATGCAACAAGAATTGTTCACGATGGTTTCCAAGGGGATAGTTTCCACGTGGAGGTCGACCTAATAGAGCACATTGTTAGCAATGATGCTATCAAACTCCATTGCTAACAATCCCTTTCCCCCCAGACGATCTAATTAAGTTGGACGTACTGGTGACGTGTTTATCAGACCGTGTTTTTACATATTTTGTCGAGAGGTTTTTTTTACAACACAGGGGGCAAACGAGCATGCGGCTCACCTGATGGTAAATGACTACCGCAGCCCATGATCACCCGAAACACTAACGGCATTGCAGGTGTGCTGCCGGCCTTTTAAAAAGGAATATGCTCTTTTCTTGAAGGTTATATTGTCGACAGGTTCAATGGCTTCTAAAACCGCAGCAGTGCGGTTAGTGGCTGGACGGTAATGCAATACAGAATTGCAAATGGACTAACGCAAGTAGGTAAATAGTACAAAATATTCATTTTACAAAACCCCAAAATAACAGATTCCGTAGAAAAAGGAAAAATTTTCATCAATACAAAATAACAAATAAACTTATAGTGTTTTTGATTTGTAATCGTGTGCTATGGGATTCTATAAAATAAAAGGTTTTTTTTTTGATGGGTAAAAATGGTATGATAGCCCCGCCTGCGCTAACGGGATACGCTGGCGGAGCACCAGTGAAGGGTGATAGATGAGAATGAAAACAGGCCAGTTAGCACAT